CAACATATAATTTCTAAGTCTTAAAACAATGAACTGGTTTTTGGAATTTGGTTATCACGCATTTGAATTGTGAGCCAGGGTCCTTTCCTGATAATCACTATCTCTAAACTCCATAACACCAAGTTCAACCTCCGCCCTAGGTTCTGGACTAATGCTGCATTTGTCTATTCATACTGTTGGAGGATAACAATGGACAAGCAAGGTGAAATTGAAATCATGGCCTGGATCAGTCAACAAATATTCATTGAATATCTACTACATGCCAATTTTAGAGCCTGGTTTACAGCCAATATAAGAATGGCTTGATTCTTGCTATAGCTATCTTTCTAAGCCACAAACTTTAAAAACAAATGCTTTGAATTATACAGCATCTCGACTGTTCTTTAAAGAAAGTCCATGCACCTGAAAGGCTGTCTGTGACACCCTGAGTTTAAAATGCAAGTTAGGGCGGGCACTGTGGCTCACTCCTATAATCCCAGTGCTTTGGGAGGCCAAGGCAGGTGGATCACCTGAGGTCAGGAGTTCTTCAAGACCAACATGGCCAACATGGTGAAACCCAGTCTCTACTAAAAACACAAAAATTAGCTGGGAGTGATGGTGGGTGCCTGTAGTCCCAGCTACTCAGGAGGCTGAGGCAGAATTGCTTGAACCTGGAAGGTGGAGGTTACAGTGAGTCGAAATTATGCCACTGCACTACAGCTTGGGCAACAGAGCAAGACTCCGTCTCAAAAATAAATAAATAAATACATAAAATAAATATAAAGAATAAATAAATAAATGCAAGTTATTAATATTAGATATATACGCACACGTGTATTATGCTTTTGTAAAAATCAAAAATAAAAAGATTTACACTTCCCAGTCAGAAAGATGGTGAAATTAAAGAAACAAACAAACAAACAAAAAAGCTTTATATACTGTGTTTATGTGTATTTTCATTAAAAAAGACATGGAAGGATAGATATTAAACTGTGAGCAGTGGTTACCTTATGGTCAAGGGCAGAGAGAGGGAGTTTTCATTTTTTCTTTGTGTACTTGTATTTGAATTCTTTAAAATAAGCATGCATTACTTTTGTGGTTATAAAACATGTAAATAATAATGTTGCAGGGAGCAGTGGCTCACTCCTGTAATCCCAACACTTTGGGAGGCCAAGGTGGGAGGATTGCTTGAGCCCAGGAGTTCAAGACCAGCCTGGACAACATGCTGAAAACCCATCTTCTATCAAAAATACAAAAAACTAGCCAGGTGTAGTGGTGCATGCCTGTGGTCCCAGCTACTCGGGAGGCTGAGGTGGGAGGATCCCTTGAGCTCCCGAGGCAGAGGTTGCGGTGACCCCAGATTGCGCCACTGCACTCTCCAGCCTGGGTGACAGAGTGAGACCCTGTCTCCAAAAAAAAAAAAAAAATTTATATAAGTAAACTACATATTTCTAGCAAGAATAAATAAATGCATATGCATATATAATATATAACAGGTAAATATTATTGCTGCATATTATCTACACACGCTGGATTTACACATAAAAGGGGGAAATTCTACCTGCTGACAGTGCTCGATAACTATTTAATTTTAAAGGGATTGGCTTTTAATTTTTATTTCCTTTTTTTGTTTTTTTTGAAACGCAGTCTGGCTCTGTTGCCTAGGCTGGAGGGCAGTAGCATGATCTCAACTCAGTGCAACCTCTGGGGCCCAAGTGATCCTCCCACCTCAGCTTCCCAGAGTGCTGGGATTACAGGCGTGAGCCACAGCACCTGGTCTATAAGTTTTAAAGGAGTAGCCAGGATTACAGGCATACAACACCACACCCAGCTAATTTTTTGTATTTTTGGTAGAAGACGGGGTTTCGCCATGTTGGCCAGGTTGGTCTCGAACTCCTGAGTTCAAGCGATCCGCCCTCCTGGGCCTCCCAAAGTGCTGGGATTATAGGCATGAGCCATGGCACCTGGCCTATGTCCTTTCTACTTTTGTGTTTAGTATCCACATTTCTATCTTTCTAATGATATCAAAAACTTACATAAGAAAAATTATTGATTAGATAGAAAAGAGGTTTTTAAAATTTAAATTAATAATTTAATAAATTTTTTGGCCGGGCGCAGTGGCTCAAGCCTGTAATCCCAGCACTTTGGGAGGCCGAGACGGGCGGATCACGAGGTCAGGAGATCGAGACCATCCTGGCTGACACGGTGAAACCCCGTCTCTACTAAAAAATACGAAAACTTAGCCGGGCGAGGTGGCGGGCGCCTGTAGTCCCAGCTACTTGGGAGGCTGAGGCAGGAGAATGGCGTAAACCCGGGAGGTGGAGCTTGCAGTGAGCTGAGATCCGGCCACTGCACTCCAGCCTGGGCGACAGGGCGAGACTCCGTCTCAAAAAAAAACAAAAAAAATAAAAAATAATTTAATTAATTTTTTGATAATTATTACCACTTCCAGGCTGAGAGGTTTTTTTAAAGGAGGAATTAACTCCTCCTGTAAATACTCTGAACCAAGGGAAGGGTATAGTTATTTTCCTCGAAAACAATGGAAATGCTTCATATTCTGCAGAAACACAATAATTAGTGGATTTGATTATTGAAAATAGTTCTGGGATACCACTGGCTCCTGGACAAATGTAGTACTTTTTTGCATTACTACATGAGATTATGACTGAGGTATACATTTCATGAAGGTACGGCCAAGGGGCTATGTTGTTCACCACTGCACCTAGCATAGAGATAGGAAATAACCAGGGCTTAATGTTGGTGGAAAGTAAATTAGTTGCATATTCTGACGAAAGAACTGGCAGTGAAAATCCATGAGAGAATTTTTGCGCACCTATTTGTATGTAAAATTTCAGTTATCTAGTTTGTGCCCTGTCCTGAGTATTTAAAGAAAAAATATTCTTGTTACAGTATAGCACATGATTTGAAAATGATTGCTAGTCACTTGAGTTTTCCATGTCATTTGTGGGGACATAGGTTTGTTGATTTATGTGCTAAAATATATTAATTGTTTACTCTGTATAGAGTCTATGAGGGATACAATAAAAGCCAAATCAGAGCTTTGCAGCCTTTCATTTTTTTTTAGAAGTTCACTTTGCTGTTAAAAGAAAGTTAAAACTGTAGAAGACAGATAGTTCTATAATGAAATTCACCTTTAAAATGAAAAGGAAATGAACAGAGGACTATTTCACCCTGGTCATTTCCCTCCAGAAAATAAAACCTTTGAATGTTATTAAACTGTCTAGTATATCTAAATATCACCACTAACAATAGTGTGAAATTACTGAGATTACAAAAACTTATTCAACAATATTCCTTAGCTTCAAATGAGGGAAGACCAGTTTTCCTCCCCAGGTTTTACTTTTCATTCATGTGTGATATCACCCTAAGAAAAACATGGAAAATACATGTCAAAACTTAACTTTGCAGCACATTTTATGCAGTTCACTATGTTTCAATTATACATCAATAAAGATGCTAAAAAACTCAAACAAAAAGAAGAAACGAAAATGTTACTTTCTATGGGACAAGGTAGTTTGTTTGTTTTTTGAGAGAGAGTTTTACTCTGTCGCCCAGCCTGGAGTGCGGTGGCTCGATCTCGGCTCACTGCAATTTCTGCCTCCCTCTCCCTGGTTCAAGCGATCCTGCCTCATCCTCCCAAGTAGCTGGAATTACAGGCGGCCGCCACCATGCCCGGCTAAGTTTATTTTTTAAGAGCAATTTCTTCTAGGGAGCAACAAATTATCTCTCAAATGCCTAGTAGTCTACGGAAGGCAATGGAAAAGCAATTTTAGGTAATTGACACTTTTTTTTTTTTTGAGACGACTCTCGCTGTCACCAGCCTGGAGTGCAGTGGCGAGATCTAGGCTCACTGACACCTCCACCTTCCGGGTTCAAGCGGTTTTCCTGCCTCTGCCTCCCGAGTAGCTGGGACTACTACTACAGGCGCATGCCACCACGCCCAGCTAATTTTTGTATTTTTAGTAGAAACGGGGCTTCACCATGTTGGCCCGGATGGTCTCGAGCTCTTGATCTCGTGATCTGCCCGCCTCGGCCTCCCAAAGTGCTGGGATTACAGGCATGAGCCACCGCGCCCAGCCCGTAATTGACACATTTTAAAAGCTTATATTTAGGTCAATATCGCTACTCAATGAAAAAATTACGTTTGGTTTGTGTTATGTCGCAGCTCCATAGTGAACTATTTATTTGAAAGCTTTGTGTGTTTTGCGAGCATCATTTCCAACCTGGGAAGAGAGCCCCACAAGTTTAAAAAAAAAAGTGTATGCGTGTGTGTCTTCCTACTTGCCCCAAACAGTGTATGCTAAGCAGATTCTGAAATGCAGATTCACAGTGGAGATATTAGGGTCCGGCTGGCTGTGGCTGTTGAGAAACACTCTTCCTAGAGCTCAGAGTGGGCTCCTTAAAGAGCTCCTCCAAACCCCCAAGGAAAAAGCCTTTCACACTTAACCTCTAAATAAAAGGCATTTTCCTGGGGATTCAACTCAGGCAAGCTCGCCTAGGTATTTTTGTGGGTGTGGGAAGAGGCGTGCTGGAATAAACTCTCCAGCAGTGCTTTTCGAGGTTACGGGTAAATTCAGCACCTCCCTCTCACTTTCCAGTTCCCAGAGGGGTAGCCGGTCCCGGCAGCTGGACCCTCCCAGGCTCTCGAGAGCACCTGAGACGCTAACAGAGAGGGGGTGCGGTCGCAGAAAGCCTCCGCCCCCTCCAGCCCCCACCGTCGGTAGCAGCTACGGGGCAGGCGGGAGGAAAGATGATTGACAGGCCCGCTCAGTGGCTGGGAAGCTAGAGGGAGGGACGAAGAGGGGACGGCTGAGCCTTCTTCTTAAAGTGGTTGGGTTGGGCCTCGGGAACTGCCTTCCCCAGGCCTATTGGCTTCCCTGAATGGGTTGTTATGGTAACAAATGACCGAACAGTCCCTTATGAATCGGCCAATGAGAAGGGCCGTCTTTTCCAGCGCACCTCCGAGCCGTAGATGTTGCGAAAGTCCGGGTAGAGGCCGGAGAAGAAGGCGGTGCCAGGACGTCCTGCGGAAGGGCCGGGGGCGGGGCTCGTGACGTTACCGGGCCAGCCAATCACGCCTGGTTTTATCAGCGGCCCCGCCCTTTTACCGCACATTTCCCCTCCCCTAGTTCATTTCGCACGACGCAGCGGTTGGGAACACAGACATTTTCGGAGCTGGAGCCGCCACTGCCGCCGCCATTTTGTGTCTGTGGAGAAAGAAGCTTCTGTGGCGGCTGGAAGTGGACGGAGATCACCCGCGAGACGGCGGCGTTTCATACCCGAGGTTCCCCCTGTGTCGTCCCCCATCCCCCCTCCGCGGTCAGCATGTGGTGAAGCCGGAGCCGCGAGAGATCCGGGGAGAGGAAGAGGAGTCGGAAGGGAGGCGGGGTATCCAGAGCGGCTTCAGCTTCAGCTGCGGCGGACCTCGGAGGGGGGCCGCGGCGCAATGTCAGAGCAGACGCCGGCCGAGGCCGGTGCTGCGGGGGCCCGGGAGGACGCCTGTCGGGATTATCAGTCATCGCTCGAAGACCTGACCTTCAATAGCAAGCCGCACATCAATATGCTGACCATTCTAGCCGAGGAGAACCTGCCCTTCGCCAAGGAGATCGTCTCTCTCATCGAGGCCCAAACCGCCAAGGTTTTTATACACCCCGCAGCCTCCTATTCTTCTAATACTCCCTGATTTTAGTGTCAGCCTCATCCCAGGTCTCGCTTCCATCCCAAGGGGGACAGTGTTCCTTCTCTCCAACCCCCCACCCCCCTCCAACTCAGGCTCGGTCTTTGGCCCAGGCTTGGAGCATGGGCCTCTCGGGGGGAGGGAGTGGGGAGGATAAAGGGTGGAGTCCCACTTCCGCTTACCAACTCCCTTTTTAGGCCACCGCATTGTATATCCCGACACACACACGCTTTGAATAGAGCCCTTTTGGGTGGGGGAGACTTAAAGGCAGTTTGTGGTTTGGGGAAGTAAGAGTTAACATAAGCCATTTTAATCCCCTGGGAAGTGGGAGAGTGGGTCTCCCATTTTCCCCCAGCACCCTTTTTGGTAATTGTGTTCTGTGGGTTGGAAGGAGGTGAAGGGGGACCTGGGAGCGAGCTGTTGGTGGGTGGGAATAGGGATTTGGCCCCGAGTGGAGCAGCCGCCTGTTAGGAGCCCAACATGGCGCCTGAAAAGCACATGATGCGAAAGGGAAGAGAGGAGAATCCATTCCCTGCCAGCCAGGCAGCTGCTCACACCCGTCAGCCCCATTTTGGGGTGGGGGCGGCTAGATAAAACTTTTATTCTCCTATTGGAGGGTCTAATTTGTCCCAAAATAGGGGCAAGTGGGGTTGAGGGTGGGGTTTGGGTGGGGGGAGGAGATCTTATCCAACCTGTAGGTGGAGAACTGGCCCAGAGGGTAACAAGTACTTGCAGTTTCTCTGAAAAGTTCAGTCCCTCCTCCTCTTCCTTTTCTCTTTTTTTCTCCCTTCCCTGATAGCGAAGGAGTGTTTTTCTTTACCCCTTGACAGAAGTGGTCCTCTGCCACCTTATATTTCCCTGTAGTCCTCCTCTTCTGTGGATTCATATGGGAGCGATATGTCATTTAAGTAAAGTTACTGTTAAACTTAGTTACAATAAGTTTTAATAGCGTCCCAGTGCTACATTTTATTTTTCAAGCTTGTACCTACGGTTTAGTTTTTTCTAGTTGTTAGTGATTGCAATTATCAGGATGAGCCTCCTTTTAGCAGAGTGAACCCCTTTTTAAAGGCCACTTTAACAACAACCACCAATATATTGTTTAGAGACGGTTTCTGTCTAGTGTAAAACTGAGTGGTCTGACTCTAATAAATGGTTTTGAAATGTGTGACTGGTATTATAAAATTTGTGAATAAAACATATAAAATATGTATTTGTCTTTTTTATTTACCTTTGTAAGGTGTAGAATCTGTTTCCAAGACTTATTTTTATCTACGTGGTTGTGTGTTTTAAACAAAAGTCTTTAAGTGACTTGGGTTCATTCTTCTTTAGGTTCCATCCACTCTTTTGGGTAAACCTCCTCACAAGATACACGGTTTCAGGTGGTCCTTTCATACTTTAAAGAGGACGAAAAGGAAGGTTTTTTTCCTTTTTTCTTTTAAGGGCCTCAACAAGTTTATCATGCTCAGTGTGACAGCTAAAATACAAGTTTTCGTTCACTTTTTCCTGTGAATGTGTATGTAAAACAGCTATTTTTTTTTAAGTATGAGATTTAAAAAGGAAGCATTCCTCATACTCAACATGCTTTTTATTGATACCACAAACATCTTGGACATGAAAACTTAGTTTTTGCCTTGTTGAAGGCTTAACTTGACATTAAATGCCTTAAAGCACTCATGTTTTTAAGGCAAAAACATTGAGTTTTAAAATTAATTACCTCGTATCTTGGGATTTAATATTCCACAGCGCCTAATATTGAGCAGCTCAGGTTGTCACTCAAAAGAACAGTTTCCTTGCTGGTTTTTAATGGATCCAGAAGACCTTCGAGGACCGAAAACTAAATGCTGAATATAGTGACCACATAAAACTTGTGTTTGTATATCGCTACACAGTGATGAAAATAGATGGGCTATTTGCTGGTAAAAGACTGAAATTTTGGGGGCACACGTTTCCTGCTTATTTTTGTAAAGCCAGATTGAGGAAAAGATGTAAAAGGCACTTTGGGGAAACTATCTTAATCCTGGTTGGGATCGAGGGTGAGGGGAGGGATTTTACGTTATTTGGTAGCAAACTGGCCTGGTTTTGTGTTTTGGAGGTGAATGTTTGTGTCCTTATTCTTTAGCTTCTCTGCGTTACTAAAGGATTCACACTTAATTTGACTCCTCCCAGGAGAGAGCAGTAGCAAAAAATAATACATATAAGGACTTCACTTGTACAATAAAAAATTAGCCTACTTAACAGACTGGTGTTAAAGAGAGCCTGTTTATCTTCATAAGTACCATAATGACTAAAGTGGTGTAAAACATGACATGGTAAGGTAAAGACACAGCGGTAAACCATTTGACATGTTCGTACTTAATATAGTTGACCCACATGCAGTGGGTGAACCCTTTTATTGGACAGTACTTTAAAAGAAAGTTTTCATAAAGTTATTCAAAGGTTTCCTTAGCCAACTTTTGGTCGTAAAGGTGTTATCAGAAGCAAGAGCATTTCCACACACTTGTATGGGCAATTGGTTTTATTAAATATGGCATTGTGTACTCCAGAACTGTGAGCCTACCCTAGCTTCAGGCCTTCAGGCAGCTATGGGTAAGTGTTATCAGGGTTAAGATTCCTATACACGTGGGGTGGGTAAATGGGGATAACCTAAGTTTTTTGTTTTGTATTTAAAAAATCATGGGTACTCCTTTGGAGTCAGAGTTAAGACTATTATGGTGTGTCTTAATGCTCCTCAACAAGTCTGTGAACCTGCTGATGCTTTCTGGAAGCTTGCTGTGCCTTCTAAAAGCCAGTGGTGGGTAGGCATTGCCGTTGAACTGGGGCAACATTTCTTTACTTTGGAAAGGGCCACCTGTATATCAGCATCACCACACTGGCTCTGCACAAATTTATAACCCCTGGTTTGTGCATGTCAGAGGAAACTATCGGCGGAGAGTCCAGGCTGTGAAGAAAATCTTCAGGACAAATCCTGGTTTCCAGAGTCAAGTTCAACCTGATTTACATGATTCAGCGGCTGCTCCATCCAGTTTTTCTTGTCTGAGTAACAAACTTGCAACTTCCTGCATGTTGTTGTGCAAGTTTCAGTGTTTTGCCATTGACTTCCTAGGTGAAGTGTTTTTAATTTTTGTTCATTTGGATTATAGAGAAGTAATCCTAGTGATTTTACAGGTAACAAAAGCTTCATAGACTTGAACATATAAAATATGCCTATGGAAATTAGTTTCTACAAGAGGTCTAAAAACTGCTTTGAGTGTAGGCACACCATTGTAAATTAATATGGGTCCCAAAACTGACACTTGGATTACATAAAGTAATTTTCCCTCGCCTCCTCTTTATTTTTGTCACTTAAAACACAGGTCTTTTTACCACATGAACTTGAAATTTCATTGAATGTTAAATGAGTATATTAGGGATTACAGCTGTTGTTCATCCTGGTAATTCTGAGCTTTTGTGTGCTCAACTAAGGATTGTAAGAGTTGAGAACTTGATTGAACACTTAAGTTTCATAAAGATTACTTCAAAAGTATTTAGTATCAACAAAAATAGAGGTCTGTATTGTAGGTTTAAAAACTCACTTTTAAAAGTAATTATTTGGTGGTAATTCATTATACTAAACTTCTCAGTTTCTTTTTATTCAGGCTCCTTCCTCAGAGAAGCTTCCTGTTATGTACCTTATGGATTCTATTGTGAAAAACGTTGGAAGAGAGTATCTCACTGCCTTTACTAAAAATCTAGTTGCAACATTTATTTGTGTGTTTGAAAAGGTACATACGCATTTAGAAACATTTGTGTTTTTTAAAAAAATGTGTTCCTGATTAAATAAATACTTGCTTTGTGTTGGGTTTTCTTGGGTGGTGAAATGTTTTATACTTTTGGACATTTATCGTTAGTACCATTTCAAAGAAAGAGGCTGAAGTTAATGTTTTATGTTAGATTTTTAGAACAGATTCTAGGAGTTTCCATTGTCCATTTAAGAATAGATGGATTTGCTTTTAGAATTGTGCTTTTTAAAAAAATTGAGTTTGTTCATTGAACATCTGTTTCATCACTTATAAACCAGGCAAAAAGATCTGAAATCATCAAGAGTAATTAAAATTTCATTGTTTAAATTTCTGGTGTTAGGTAGGATGTTGACTGTTCTCTGGGGGAAAAAAAGCATAATCCCTCAGTGTCTCAACCTGTGATTGGTTCCTGAAACTTCTGTGTTTTTTTGTTTTGTTTTCTGGAAATGTTTACTCTTTTGTTACATTGTTCAAGTATGTTTTAGGTGAATGTTGTTGGTATGTGTCAATGGTGGACCAGTTAATTGCTATAGGTTATTCTGGAAATACTTTTCCCTCCACCTTAGTGTTCAGAAATTAGGCTTATTTTTCATATCTAGAGATTGTAAATTTCTTCCATAACATTGTAACATATGTGGTGGTTTGGTTACAGCAGTATTATGTTGAGGAAGACAAGGGATTTGCTGAGGTAATTCTCTGCCTGTCAGGCTGTATCTTTCACATTGAGCAAAAAGGCACTTATGAGATATTTAGGTTTAAAGATTGTTTCCTAATGACAGTATTTGGTGGTAGTTATATTTTAGTAGATGAACACCTGTGTGTCAGTTGTCAGATTTGTAGAATTGGAATTTTTTTTGGAAGAACTATTATTAGATTTTACATGTTTATTAGAAAATAGGTAGTTGTTATTTGAGAAATGTTTTTAAGTTCTTAGAGAAAAGAAATAGTATATATAGAAGAAATTTGGAAAGCTCCATATCAGATAGCATTAAAATGTTTGTTAATAGAATATTGTATACATATGCTGAATACTGCTAACCAGAGGCTATAGTCTTAAGGAGAAGCTTAACCAACCTCTTGGTTTCAGTTTCAGTATGTTCAAATTCACTTGGGTGTTTGGTAGCATGCCTTTACTGAATCTAAGTGGGCATTAACATGACAATTGATTAAAATGACCTTATAATAAATAATTATATGAGGACTTAAAATATAGTTAAGGCTTTACTGTCTGTTGTAATGTTGAAAATGTAACTCAGTTTTCACAAGTCCTAGGTTTCTTGATGGCGAATTTTCTTTCTTTTTCTTTTTTTTTTTTTTGAGATGGAGTTTTGCTCTTGTTGCCCACACTGGAGTGCAATGGCGCCATCTCGGCTCACTGCAACCTCCGCCTTCCAGGTTCAAATGATTCTCCTGCCTCAGCCTCCGGAGTAGCTGGGATTACAGGCATGAGACATCATGCCTGGCTAATTTTGTATTTTTAGTAAAGAAGGGGTTTCACCATGTTGGTCAGGCTGGTCTTGAACTCCTGACCTCAGGTGATCCACCTGTCTCGGCCTCTCAAAGTGTTGGAATTACAGACGTGAGCCACCGTGCCTGGCAATGGCAGATTTTCTAAAAATTGTTAGGCCATCACAAACGTGAACAGATAAGTTATTTAAAACTAAGGCTTATCAGTGGTTAAGATTTTGTAAATTTCAGTTGTTAAAGTGCTTTCCATACCACAATAACTTACTCCTAGGTACCCAACCATACAGTATTGCTGAGCATTGGTTAGTGAGATAGTTTTGCCTTAATTTTAACTTTGTACTACTATGTAAATAATTTAAAACATTTAAGCCATCAGATAATCAATTTTTCTAGTAGTTTTATATTTTTTAGTTTTATATTTTCTAGTTGTTTTATATTTTTTTCCAGAGTAAGAGTAATGTTAGGAATATTATACTAAGCTCTAAGATGTGGAAACGTTTTGTATATAGAAAGGCTCGCCTGGTTGGTTGCTTGCATGAAGGCTAGGTGAAAATGGCTTTAATTATTCTGTTTTTGAAGGAGAAATGCACCTTTAATAAATTATTACTGTTGAATATACTTACCAATGGGTAGTACAGTTCTATATGTGAAGTAGAGCAGATTTATATAACTTACATTTAATATATAAAATATTCTATAGTAACTTAACAAGCCATAGAATTGTTCTGTTGTTCTAGGTGGATGAAAATACTAGGAAAAGTTTATTTAAGTTACGTTCCACATGGGATGAAATATTCCCTTTGAAGAAACTTTATGCCCTGGATGTCAGAGTCAATTCATTAGATCCTGCTTGGCCTATTAAACCTCTACCCCCCAATGTGAATACGTCTAGCATCCATGTGAATCCTAAATTTTTAAATAAATCGGTAAGTTTTAATATGAATAGTATGTAACATGCTTTTAAGTATCACATTTTGAATTCTTTTAGAGAACTTAATGCCAGAAAGCCAAAATAGAATATAGTGAATTGGTTCAATTTGAAAAAAAAATAATATGTATATATTTGGAATTTTTATTTAGAAATGTATTCACCTTGTTTAGGTATTTTGTAACATTTAATTTGGCTTTTAAATACCTGATAAGTTTTCTGTGTGATATTTAGGAATTTGGATAATTATTAAAGAGTTAAATTCTGTGTGATATTTAGGAATTTGGATAATTATTGAGAGTTAAACTGATAATTTTTATTTACTCCCTAGCTTCCTTTTTAGCTGATATATTTTTCTTAAACAAATTGTCTTTTCTTATAGCCCGAGGAGCCTTCAACACCTGGTACAGTGGTCAGTTCCCCTAGCATCTCCACTCCTCCAATTGTTCCTGATATACAAAAGAATCTTACACAAGAACAACTAATAAGGCAGCAGTTACTGGCAAAGCAAAAACAGTTGTTAGAACTTCAGCAGAAAAAGCTGGAGCTTGAGCTAGAGCAAGCTAAGGCACAACTGGTAAGTAAGGGAGATTGGCATTTTAAATATTTTAAACCTGTGTAACAATAGAGAAGTAATGTTTATGTTTGAATTTTATTAATGTTACTTTTATTAGTAGTGTACTCTTTTAACTTTTTTTTTTTTTTTTTACAAATCATAGTATATTTATTAGATAATACTTTTATATCTTTATTGTAAAATTCACTTGGTTAAAAACCACATAGGCCAGGTGCAGTGGATCATGCCTGTAATCCCAACACTTTGGAAGTCTGAGGTGGGAGGATTGCTTGATTTTAGGAGTTTGAGGCCAGCCTGGGCAACATAGTGAGGCCCTACCAAACAAAAAAAATTAGCCAGGTATGGTAGTGCATGCTTGTGGTCTCAGCTACTTGAGAGGCTGAGTTGGCAGGATCACTTAAGGCTGCAGTGAGATATGATTGCTTCACTGCACTCTAGCCTGAGTGACAGAGCAAGACCCTGTCTCAAGAAAACCCCCCAAAACAAAAAACTACACTATTTCCTCCAAATAGTTTTCTGTTAGATTGCCATCTTATAAATTAGCATCTTAGTTTTGTTTGATCATTACATTATGTGGACTTAATATTTCAGTCCCAAGATGGTAGGCATGTTGTGGCAAATATTTCTGCATAGTCTTCAATGTTTTATGAGCTTATACTTCATAAGCAGAAATGACAAAATTAAAGAGGCCAGGAAGATTATATATTTCGACACATGAAATGACTTTATACTAAGTTATTTTGCTTAGCATCTGAGCTTATTCGACAGTGAGGTACAGGAAGGCAGAATTTTATAAGTTCATTAATAGCACCACTTTGGGAGAAACTAAATTTTAGGACTTAGAATTTAGCTGAAATGACTGATTCTTGTGCAGCTGGAGTATAGTGATTTAGCAATTACTTAGGAGCAGTATGGCTCAGAATCCTGAATAATTAGAAAGAGAAACAATTTTTTTTCATTCTATTTAGAGATTATATTATAAAATCTCAAAAAATACTAGCAATAAATAATGGGCAACTTAAATCATGGACTTTTTCTTTTCATTGTAATCTCAATTTATACATTAGATGTGTACAATTTAAATATAGTGTTGAGTAAATATATTTATTGAATAAAGCATTATATTCTTCAGTTGTTTGCAATTTCTTGACAATCTTCATGTTTCACAGTGTTGACATGAACATTTATTTTGTGTTTTAGGCAGTTTCTCTTAGTGTTCAGCAGGAAACATCCAATTTAGGTCCTGGATCTGCACCATCTAAATTACATGTTTCACAGATTCCCCCTATGGCAGTTAAAGCTCCTCATCAGGTTCCTGTGCAATCTGAGAAAAGCCGTCCAGGACCATCCTTACAAATTCAGGATGTGAAAGGAACTAACCGGGATCCTCGTCTGAACAGGATAAGCCAACATTCTCATGGAAAAGATCAAAGTCACAGGAAAGAATTTCTAATGAACACATTAAACCAGTCTGATATTAAGACAAGTAAAACTATACCCTCTGAAAAACTAAATTCATCCAAGCAAGAAAAAAGTAAATCAGGTGAAAAAATAACCAAGAAAGAACTTGAACAATTAGATTCTAAATCGAAATCGAAATCGAAATCACCATCACCTTTGAAAAACAAATTGTCTCACACAAAAGACTTGAAAAATCAAGAATCAGAAAGTATGAGGTTGTCTGATATGAACAAGAGAGACCCAAGATTAAAAAAACATCTTCAGGATAAGACTGATGGCAAAGACGATGATGTGAAAGAGAAGAGAAAAACTGCAGAAAAAAAGGATAAAGATGAGCACATGAAGTCATCCGAACACAGAGTGGCTGGAAGTAGAAATAAAATCATAAATGGCATTGTACAAAAACAGGATACAATAACAGAAGAGTCAGAAAAACAGGGGACAAAACCAGGGAGATCGAGTACTAGAAAGCGATCAAGATCTCGATCACCCAAGTCTAGGTCACCAATTATACATTCCCCAAAGAGAAGAGATAGGCGGTCACCCAAACGAAGGCAAAGAAGTATGTCTCCAACATCGACACCTAAAGCTGGAAAGATTCGCCAATCTGGAGTTAAGCAGTCACATATGGAAGAGTTTACACCACCTTCTAGGGAAGACAGAAATGCTAAGAGAAGTACTAAACAGGATATTCGGGACCCAAGGCGAATGAAAAAGACTGAAGAGGAGCGGCCACAAGAAACTACAAATCAGCATTCTACAAAGTCAGGCACTGAACCAAAGGAGAATGTAGAAAACTGGCAAAGTTCCAAATCTGCCAAAAGATGGAAATCTGGTTGGGAAGAAAATAAAAGGTATGATGTTAACATTTTAAGTCAAGTGTAATAGTGTATATGTGTCAAAAATAGTGTTAATTTAAAAATTGGAAAATGTTTATTGGGTGCTGTTAGTACTTTTTTCCATCTAATTCTTACATCTCTGTGGGTTAAATACTATTATTATTTCTATTTTACAGATAAGGAAACTGAAGTTTAGAAAGGTTAACTAATCTACCTAAGGCTGCAGTCCAGGACATGCAAGAATCAGAATTCATATCTGTTTTTGCTGATTGCATATTTCATGCTCTTAATCATTTAATTAATTACTTTTTGTGGTTACATATGCCCATTTTAACCATATCCTTTTGAAAAGAATCTTTAAATATGGTCCTGAGTATTATTTTAAAAAACATTTCAAAGTAACATACTGCTTTTATGGTTTCAGCTTACAGCAGGTTGATGAACATAGTAAACCTCCTCATCTGAGGCATAGGGAGAGCTGGTCAAGCACTAAAGGAATTTTATCGCCTCGAGCCCCAAAGCAGCAACAGCATCGATTAAGTGTAGATGCCAATCTTCAGATTCCTAAAGAGTTAACTCTTGCAAGCAAAAGAGAATTACTTCAAAAGGTAGTTACTATGATTAATCCCATGTCATTATTCTCTTTTGTCTATTTTTTTGGTATTTTTTTATATTTAAAGTATTTTATTTCCTTTTATCACCCCTATACAGACGAGTGAACGTTTAGCATCTGGTGAAATTACACAGGATGACTTCCTTGTTGTTGTGCATCAAATTCGACAGCTATTTCAGTATCAAGAAGGTAAACATAGATGCAATGTACGGGATAGTCCTACAGAAGAAAATAAAGGTGGATTAAAAAAGAAACCTCTCTTATCTGATGCTGAATTAACCTACTATGAACATAAAGCAAAACTGAAAAGGACACAGGTTCAGCATTCATTTCCAAGACTTGATCTCTTAGATCCTGATATTTTTGACTACCCTTTGACTGATGCCTTGTTGTCTGGAATAGAATGTGAGCCATCCAAAAGTAAACATGCAAGTAGGAATAGTGGAGCACAGTTTGACAGAAAAGAACAATTTAGTGAAAGAGCAAGACGTCTTTCTCCTATATCTGGGAGTCGTACTTATGCTGAGAATCTTTCACCCCATGAGGGCCGGAGAAGACATGACGAGCAAGTCTCTGCTAAAGGTAGAAAAAGTTAAATCAGATTATGCCTATTGAATCACACAGCAGTGAAGGGAAAATGAACAAGCTAAGTGGGGATGGATTTTTGTGACTGTTCAGAGTACCATTTTTTTCCCATTTATTTTGTTACTTTTTTCCCTTTAAGGAAAGGGAAGGGAAGAGAGCTAATATTTCTAAGGCCAGTTGTGTGTCAGGTACTTCATTAGGTTTTTTAAATATGTAATTTGATTTAATCCTCACAACAACACAACGAAGTATATATTCTCCCCATTTTACAGAGAGGAAATAAAAGAGAGGTTAAATAACTTGCTCTCAAAATGAAATAATTAGTATGTTGATAGGATGGGAATTTTTTTGTGACTCGGTGTGTCTGACTCTAGAGGGCATCCTCTTATCTGCTGCTTTATGCTGTCTGTCTCTTCCTGCCCCTCTAATATAGTGAGATAGTTATATCTTTGGCTAAACATTCATATGAAAAGAGAAGATTTTAAGATAACTTTAGATTTAGTGAAAATAATTTTTTTCCTTTTTAAAAGGTGTGCGAGAAGAGCAGAGATCTCCATTCAATGATCGTTTTCCACTTAAGCGACCTCGATATGAAGATTCAGATAAACCATTTGTAGATAGCCCAGCATCAAGATTCGCCGGCCTGGATACAAATCAGCGACTTACAGCTTTAGCTGAAGACAGACCATTATTTGATGGACCTAGTAGGCCATCAGTAGCAAGAGATGGCCCAACCAAGATGATTTTTGAAGGACCTAATAAATTAAGCCCTCGAATTGATGGACCTCCCACACCAGCTTCTCTTCGGTTTGATGGGTCACCAGGACAAATGGGGGGAGGAGGCCCTTTGAGATTTGAAGGGCCACAAGGTCAGCTAGGAGGTGGGTGTCCTTTGAGATTTGAAGGTCCTCCAGGACCAGTGGGGACACCTCTGCGGTTTGAGGGCCCAATTGGTCAAGCAGGAGGAGGTGGTTTTCGGTTTGAAGGTTCCCCTGGTCTGAGGTTTGAGGGATCTGCAGGTGGTTTACGATTTGAGGGACCAGGGGGCCAGCCTGTGGGTGGTCTGAGGTTTGAGGGACATCGTGGTCAACCCGTGGGTGGTCTAAGGTTTGAGGGACCTCATGGTCAGCCTGTGGGTGGACTTAGATTTGATAATCCCCGAGGTCAGCCTGTAGGTGGACTTAGATTTGAAGGGGGTCATGGTCCATCAGGGGCTGCTATTAGGTTTGATGGACCTCATGGTCAGCCAGGAGGTGGAATCAGATTTGAGGGCCCTTTGCTACAGCAAGGAGTTGGAATGAGGTTTGAGGGCCCCCATGGTCAGTCAGTAGCTGGTCTGAGATTTGAGGGACAACATAATCAACTTGGTGGAAACCTTAGGTTTGAGGGTCCACATGGCCAACCAGGGGTTGGTATCAGGTTTGAAGGCCCTTTAGTCCAACAAGGAGGTGGAATGAGGTTTGAGGGTCCTTCTGTACCAGGAGGTGGCCTGAGAATTGAAGGGCCTCTGGGTCAAGGTGGTCCAAGATTTGAAGGTTGTCATGCTTTAAGGTTTGATGGGCAGCCAGGTCAGCCGTCACTCTTGCCAAGATTTGATGGATTACATGGTCAGCCAGGTCCTAGATTTGAAAGGACTCCTGGTCAGCCAGGCCCTCAGAGGTTTGATGGGCCACCTGGACAGCAGGTTCAGCCCAGATTTGATGGTGTACCTCAAAGATTTGATGGTCCACAACATCAGCAGACATCAAGGTTTGATATTCCTCTTGGTCTTCAAGGCACAAGATTTGACAATCATCCTTCACAAAGGCTTGAATCAGTATCTTTCAATCAGACTGGTCCATATAATGATCCACCTGGCAATGCTTTTAATGCCCCATCTCAAGGACTACAGTTCCAAAGACATGAACAAATATTTGATTCACCTCAAGGACCAAATTTTAATGGACCACATGGCCCTGGAAACCAGAGTTTCTCTAATCCACTTAACAGAGCTTCTGGACACTATTTTGATGAAAAAAATCTTCAGAGTTCTCAATTTGGAAACTTTGGCAATATACCTGCTCCAATGACAGTAGGAAATATTCAGGCATCTCAACAGGTAAGTCTGTTATTCTAAATTTGGGTTGTATGCAGATAACCATTTTTTAATCTTTCTAGAAAGATTTTCAGGACATAGTTTATTGTATAGATTGGAAAGAAGTTTTTAATGTACTCTAAAGCCACCTGCTAAGGAAGTGGGCGTCTTTTGGGGATGAAATTTGCAGCTTAAATCCAAAATTGATTTTAGCTGTTTCAAACTCCCACCTTCAACTCTGCTTTTTTTTTTGTTTTGTTTTTGCTTTAAAGCTTTTGAAATATTACACAATTGTGTTTCATAGAGGTCTGCATTGTAGAACTGTTGGGCCCTGATGTGCTTTAAAGTAGCCATGGAACTGATTGCTTGGACTGTTCTTTGACCATGAATTTCATTAACCTGAGTTAAATAAGAAGATCAAATTTTGTCCATGCTTTCACAGTCTGCAATTTTTTTCTTTGTCCTGTTTTTCTACTTTTTACCACCTTTCCAGTCACTTCAGTTAAACACAATTGTTTGATATTAATGTCAACATAGCAAACTTAGTAGCAAATAGCCTTCCAAATACACTCTGGTTATGAAGCATGCAGTTACCTATTGATATTCTTTTACACTTGTTCTGTATACATTTTAAAATGCATACTGAAATAACTTTAAGGTAGTATGTTTACAATTTGTGATTAACTTGGTTGGTTTTGAATGACTACTTTTGCTTGCGTGCTGAAATTGTCCTGGGCTGAGTTTTATTTCTTTTCCAGGTGCTGACATTTTCTTACTAGGACAGATTTATTTTATAGTAGTAAGATTGTATGGAAGAAAATACAAAATAAGAAAGATTTTAAAAGCACATTAGGAACATTATTAATAGAAAGTAGTCCTTCTATTCATCTCTAATCGTATGAAAAAACAGTTGGCCTGTCTAGATCTATTCTACTGTATACCCTTGAAAGAAATTGACACATACTCTAGAATGGTACTTAGTTTTGTTTCTACATTGCACAGAATTGGTGGGGTTTTTATTATGTGTACTCACCACCAAAAGTCCACATGTATACTGAAGAAGGATTATAAATGGACATTTATTTACATACCAGCAACATGTAGAAGTCCTGCCTCCCTCTGGACTGCAAATACTGTATTTGTCTGCCAGTGCAGTTCTTGCTCCATGGTTGCTCTATTTTTTAACATTCCCTTTGACATCTTTTACAAGACCTTTTACAGGATTACTTTGTAATGTAGCTATAACTGTACACAAAGATAATGGCCAAGCAGGATACTTACCTGCTTGGTAATTCAGATTGCTAATTAAAACAGGCTTTTGATATCTGGAAAACGGGCAAGGGTGAGGAGTTCTGGCTTCAGTTTTGCTCCTAACTAGCCCTTGTGATTGTGTATAGGTCGTATTGCTCTATGTCAGTTCTTCTATTTGTGAAATAAGGGAAAGCACCAGCAAGGTAAAGTGACTTGTGTAAAGTAACACAGCTAGTTACCTTATGTTTGCGTGGTATCTTACATTTTCCTTTTTGAGGGTTTACTTTGCCTCTCTAGTAGGTACCTTAAACTTTTCAAAGAAGTTTTAACCCATTCTCAGTAACTTATACCTCAGTGAAACGGGTAAGGGAAGATTTTATTGTTCCTGTTTGTAGAAGACCTAGAAGTGAAGTGACACAGCCAAGTTACCTTTCTAAATCTTTATTTATTTATTTAGATTTACTTTTCTAAATCTAAAACTAACTAAATCTTTAGTTACCTTTCTTAATCTAAGCCAGGCCTGTGACATCTATGAATATTTTTATGTAATTAGGATGTTCAAAGTTTTACTTGAAATGTAGAAAGTATGTTCTTAAAATTAAGGTTTTTCTTAAAGGTTCTGAGTGGTGTTGCTCAGCCAGTAGCTTTTGGTCAAGGACAACAGTTTTTACCAGTTCATCCACAAAATCCTGGATTTGTTCAGAATCCTTCAGGTATGTACTTTCTGAACTTTGTTTTTCAAAAGACAAATGATTATTGTTTTGTTGAATAGCTAACTTGGTGAATTTTAGGAAATGACAGTTTTGCAAAGGTATATTTAATTTAGAGAAATTTAATCTGGCTGACATATTTTTGTTCCTTTTCTAAGTTTATTTACATTGTGGATGACCCTATTTACAGCTAGAGATGGTTAGTGGGGACTTGTAGTCCACAGAACAGAGGGAAGGAAACCTATTGGGTGGAAACTGGGAGGTGGGAAGGAAGGTATGACATCTGTGTTGAGATAGAATGAAATAAATGACAAACCTCAGAAATCTCAATTATTTGATGTTTCGAGTACGTGTTATGATCCAGTAAAAATTTATTAAGTGAATACTGAGGATACTGCATTAATAAAGTTGATTAATTTTTATGTTTTTATGGGCACTCAAATAGCAAAAAGTGGCTTTCCTAGCCAGGTTCACTGATAAGCATCTTTGTTACTATGGGGTGAGGCTTAGTACTAGATAAAAGGACTTTTAAAATGGATTTTAGTTTTATTTATTTATTTATTTATTTATTTATGAGACAGAGTCTTGCTCTCTCACCCAGGCTGGAGTGCAGTGGTACGATCTTGCCTCACTGCAGCCTCTGCCTCCAGGGTTCAAGCAATTCTGTCTCAGCCTCCTGGGTAGCTGGGACTACAGGCGCGTGCCACCAGACCCGGCTAACTTGTATTTTTAGTAGAGACGGAGTTTCACCATCTTGGCCAGGCTGGTTTTGAGCTCCTGACCTCAACTGATCTGCCCCCTTCAGTCTCCCAAAGTGCTGAGATGGCAGGTGTGAGCCACCATGCCTGGCAGAATGAATTTTAGTTTTAATATGTGGTAAATGGGAAGTATATACATTAGTGATACTTGCTTTCATTTCTGAATCATTGAAACAGCTGTTTCAGAAACATGTTTTATTGTAGCATTGAGTTAATCAGTTTACAGTAAATTTATGGAGTTTTCCAAAACTTCTGAAGTAATTAGGAAATCCTAGCCAATATCTTTTTTATACATTAGTTCTTTTTTTTTTTTTTTTTTGTTTTGAGACGGGATCTTGCTCTGTCACCCAGGCTGGAGTGCAATGACATGATCTCGGCTCACTGCAAGCTCCGCCTCCCGGGTTCACGCCATTTTTCTGCCTCAGCCTCCCGAGTAGCTGGGACTACAGGCGCCTGCCACCGCGCCCGGCTAATTTTTTGTGTTTTCAGTAGAGACGGAGTTTCACCATGGTCTCGATCTCCTGAACTCGTGATCCGCCAGCCTCGGCCTCCCAAAGTGCTGGGATTACAGGCGTGAGCCACCGTGCTCGGCCAGTATACATTAGTTCTTAAATTGTGTCAAGAAATTCAATTAATTTGGAAGCTTTTAATTTTTAATTTCTACATGGACAATTACAACTAATTAATATTTGTTATTATTATTATTTTGTTACTATAATGAAAAGAGAAGGAGAGAATTTGGGATCTAAAGCCCAGAAGACCAGAATTGGAATCTCTACTCTGTTACTTTATAAATGGGCAGACTTTAAGCAGGTATCTCCCCTGAGGTTCAGTTTTTTCCTCTGTGAACAGGATATGGGCCGGGCATGGTGGCTCATGCCTGTAATCCCAGCACTTTGGGAGGCTGAGGCGGGTGGATCACAAGGTCAAGAGATGGAGACCATCCTGGCCAATGTGGTGAAACCCTGTCTCCACTAAAAATACAAAAATTAGCTGGGTGTGGTGGTAGGCCCCTGTAGTCCCAGCTACTCAGGAGGCTGAGGCAGGAGAATCACTTGAACGCAGGAGGTGGAGGTTGCAGTGAGCTGAGATCATGCCACTGCACTTAAGCCTGGCAACAGAGTGAGACTCTGTCTCAAAAAAAAAAAAAAAAAACCAAAAAAAAAGCAGGATATGGTAGTATCAGTTTTTTTATTTTTTATTTTTTTTAGAGAATCGAATGGTACAGTATATGCAAAAGTACTTTGTAACTTGTCAAGTATTATGTTAATGTATTTTCCTTTAGAATTCAGTTTTTGTTTTGAGCAGAGGATTTGTTATATTGGCGTTAGTGGCATGAGATGCTCTACAGAATCCACAAATTTTCTTGTTTCTTTTTTTTTTTTTTTTGAGACGAGTCTTGCTCTCTTACCCAGGCTGGAGTGCAATGGCACGATCTCAGCTCACTGCAACCTCCTCCCCAGTAGCTGGGACTACAGGTGCATGCCACTACACCTGGCTAATTTTTGTATTTTTAACAGAGACAGGGTTTCACCATATTGGTCAGGGTGGCTTGAATCCTGACCTCAGGTGATCCACCTGCCTTGACTCCCAAAGTGCTGGGACTACAGGCATGAACCACTGTGCACAGCCTTGTTTTGCTTTTACAACCTTGGGTTCTATGTGTATGTGTACAGGGCATAGCAGTGTCACAGAGGAAATCACAATTATTCCCCTCGTTTGGATGTATTGAATGGGACATTAGGTGTGTCTTCGTTCTTCAAGTTCTTCTTACTCTTACAAGAGGTGTCAGCAGTTTTCAGTGTGCTATATTTAGCTTCTCTCAAGGTTCCTTCTCTAACTGGAAAGTGTAAACATCCCTTTTCTAGTAGGAAATATACCCATGTTCATTTATTCATTCAGACATATATTAATCATCTGCTGTATGCTAGGATGAATTTAATAAGGTTCATCCTTCAAAGAGCTTTATTTTTAAAGTTTTTTAAAAATATTTATTTATTTATTTATTTATTTTTAAAGAGGGTGCTCACTATGTAGCCCAGGCTGGTGTCAAACTCCTGAGCTCAAGCAGTCCTCCTACCTCAGCCTCCCAAAGTATTGGGAGCCACCACACTTGACCTCAAAGAGCTTTATAGTATAGAAAGGCTACTGATTTTTTTTTTTTTTTGGTTTAACAAAAACCACATAATAATGCTAAACACCTCAGTTCCTTAAAAATATTAATTCATTTAACCTCATAACAATCTTAGGATTGGTACTTAGGTAGGAACTATTATTACCCTTTGTACCGGCATGGGAAACTGAGGCATAGACAAGGAACTTGATTATGTCATACAACTAGAAAGTGGAATTTCTGGTTAAAATCCCAGGAGTCTGGTTCCACAGTTTATGCGCTTGGTTACTAGACTTGCCTACCCTCAGACATGTGAATAGCTAATTATGCATCTTAGATTTAATGGAAAGTAAAGGTTAAACTAGTGAGCTAAATGTTACTGTAATTGATTAACTATTGAAGTTGATCTATTCATTCATGTATTCAGACATTTAGTTTGAACAGACATTAATTAGCTTACTATATATAAGGCAGTAGAGTAAGTGTAGAGTATACAGTGTCTAAAGGTAGGGATTATGTGTATGTGGATGCAAATTGAATTTTTGCCATTAAGAGGAATTTTTAGTGGTTCAGAACTTTAGGTGTAGTGAGATGCATCACAGTGACATACAAATACATTAAAATATTGTTTTCTCTTTTTTTGAGACAGGGTCTTCTCGCTCTGTTGTCCAGGCTGGAGTACAGTGGTGAGATCTTGGCTCACTGCAACCTCCGCCTCCCGGTTTCAAATGATTCTCGTGCCTCAGCCTCCCGAGTAGCTGTGAGCCACTGCACCTGGCCTAAAGTATTGTTTTCATAGTTGAGTTAAAGAATCACAATTATGGTTGGGCGCGGTGCCTCACACCTGTAATCCCAGCACTTTGGGAGGCCGAGGCAGGCAGATCACGAGGTCAGGAGGTCGAGACCATCCTGGTTAACACTGTGAAATCCCGTCTCTATTAAAAATACAAAAAGAAATTAGCCAGGCGTGGTGGCGGGCACCTGTAGTCCAGCTACACAGGAGGCTGAGGCAGGAGAATGGCGTGAACCCAGGAGGTGGAGCTTGCAGTGAGCCGAGCACTCTGCACTTCAGCCTGGGCGACAGAGCGAGACTCCATCTCAAAACACACACACGCACACAAAGAATCACAATTATTAGAATAGTGCTTGGAAAAATATGGGACTGGAATGATTCCTCACCAATGAGGATTCCTCATCTAGCAAAACAAGATTGTTAGGCTTATCTAATTTATTCAAGTTATTGAAGCTTTAGTAACCATGACACCTTTTCAGCAATAGCCTGAGCTGCTTTGCAAGGGCAGTATACTTTTTAGCAAAGGTCATAGGAGCAGGTATACTCTGAGCCATTTGATTGATCTCCCTGTTTCAGTTCTTCTGTTATGTCAGGGAGCATTGAGGTCAGGAGTACTTCCACTTAGGCTTAGTGCTAAGAGGTGATAAACTATTTCATCTATATAAAACTACCTTTTCCAGTATACTTAGAAGATGAGGAAGAGAGAATTAGAAAGGTGGAAAGTTGGAGATGGGGTGGTGCTGCATTGCATGGGAGAAGGGAGCATAAAGGGTCATTGTTTTCACTGTTCTCAGCATTTGTTTTAGAATATATTCTCAAGTCCAGTGTGGCGATTCCTCAAGCATCTATAACTAGAAATACCATTTGACCCAGCAATCCTATTACTGGTTATATACCCATAGGATTATAAATCATGCTACTATAAAGATACATGCACATGTGTGTTTATTGCAGCACTATTCACAATAGCAAAGACTTGGAACCAACCCAAATGTCCATCAATGATAGACTGGATTAAGAAAGTGTGGCACATATACACCATGGAATACTTTGCAGCCATAAAAAAGGATGAGTTCATGTCCTTTGCAGGGATATGGATGAAGCTGGAAACCATCATTCTAAGCAAACTATCACAAGGACAGAAAACCAAACACTGCATGTTCTCACTTGCAGGCGGGAATTGAACAATGAGAACACTTGGACACAGGGCAGGGAATATCACACACCGGGACCAGTCGAGGAGTGGCGAGCTGGGGGACGGATAGCAGTAGGAGAAATACCTAATGTAAATGACGAGTTGATGGGTGCAGCAAATCAACATGGCACATGTATACCTATGTAACAAACCTGCACGTTGTGCACATGTACCCTGGAACTTAAAAATATAATAAAAAATGAAAAAAGGAAAAAGGAATATATTCTCAAGTCGTGCTGACTTGTAGACCTAAATTAAAAGGATAATCTTAGGGACTTTTGAAATTAAACTAATTAATAAGGTTTTGTCAAATTTACTGTTGGCAGGACATCTTGAAGAAAACTTTGAAAAATGCTTAGTATAATTTGCATCTTTAAGTTCTACATTCACTTTAAGAGTGGTTTTTTTTCTTTTTCTTTTTTTTTTTTCTGTTAGGAGCACTCCCTAAGGCGTATCCTGATAATCATCTCAGTCAAGTGGATGTAAATGAATTGTTTTCAAAATTGCTAAAAACAGGAATTCTCAAATTGTCCCAACCTGATTCAGCTACAACACGTAAGTGTGATTTTATACTTAAATGTACACAAAGCTTCATTAAGTTTTTGAAATGTATGATATAATATAATGATATAAGTTATGATAAAGGTCCTTACAATAATTGAATTCGTAGGTATACCTTTTAGTTTTGATTTTTGGTTTATAATGAAATTCTTTTAGATTTCCTAAGATTGAACTATCTTATAGTGGACATATTTTTCAGTTAACTAACATACCTAATGTGCAGGCTTTTTACCAGTAATTTTATGTTAATTTAACTTTTGAAAAGATTTTGAATATTGATGAAATAAATGACTTTTATTATAGATGACTTTTAAGAGAACAGAGTTAACATCACATATCAAAATAAAAAATTGTATTAGGTTCCTTGGCCAGTAAACTTGAGATCAGAAGCACTGAATAGATTAGGTAGATTTCTCTATAAGAATATATGGAGAATGGTATTAAGAAATTTGTGTGTCTCTTCTTAATTGAAGAAGTAAGTGAAGTAGCTGCTCAGCCTCCCCCTGAAGAGGAGGAAGATCAAAATGAAGATCAAGATGTTCCAGATCTTACTAATTTTACAGTTGAAGAATTGAAACAGTATGTAATCTAATTTTCTTTAAGATAAAGAGGCAGTGACTTTAATAACACTGTTACAGTGGACATTGTTACTATTAGTGCTTTCCCTTTCCCTTATCCCTTTTACTGTTTTAACATTGAGGAAGTCTTTTTTTTTTTTTTTCACTGTGGTAAAATATACATAACATAGTCTTTGGGAAGCCTTTTTTTAAATCTTCTTTTAAAATATGTCTGGTGTACAAGTACTTTGGCCAAAGGCCGCCCCCAAAAGTCTCACTCTGCCGCCCAGGTTGGTGTTTAGTGGTGTGATCTTGACTCACTGCAGCCTCTGCCTCCCAGGTTCAAGCGATTCTCCTGGGACTACAGGCATGTGCCACCATACCTGGCTAATTTTTGTATTTTTAGTAGAGACAGGGTTTCACCATGTTGGCCAGGCTAGTCTCGAACTCCTAACCTCAGGTGATCCACCTGCCTTGGCCTCCCAAAGTGCTGGGGATTACAGGTGTGAGCCACCGCACCCGGCCCCTCAAAGTTTTCATTTTTTAATTTGTGATACAGAAAACTTAGGGAGTTTAAATACTAGGTATTGATAACTCATGTATTCCTGTTTAGTTTCATTTTCTGTTTATCATTGTTTCTGTATTGATATTCTTACATTTTTGAGGTTTAGAAATGAGATTTTCACAGTCCAGCATTTACAATTAAAATCTATTTTTCATTTTGTAAGTAATGTTAATTGTGGAAAATTAGAACATACTGTAAATAAAATCAAGAAAACACAACTCTCACTTTATGGATAACAGCTGTTAACATATGGTGCATATCTTTTCATAATTTTCTATTGTATTATAAAAAATATTTAAAGCTTTTTCTAGTGAATGAATTCATTAATCCTGTGAGTACTTTATAAAAAATAAAACAGCAAATGAGTTTTTCATTCTTAAAATCATTTTTTTAATTTGAATTGGATACTATAATGTAAAATCATTTTTTTCAAAGTAATACTTGCACATAAAAGCTTTTAATAAAAGATGGCATGCCTTTTTCCTTCACCCAACACTGTACCCTAGAGGCAATCATTTTATTTGTTTATCTTTTCAAACTATTTTTTCTGGCATTTACCTCTTTTTTTTTTTTTTTGAGACGGAGTCTTGTTCTGTCACCCTTGCTGGAGTGCAGTGGCACTGTCTCGGCTCATTACAACCTCCACCTCCCAGGTTCAAGTGATTCTCCTGCCTCAGCCTCCTGAGTAGCTAAGATTATGGGCACCCATGACCACGCCTAGCTAATTTTTGTATTTTTAGTAGAGATGGGGTTTCACCATGTTGTTCAGGCTGTTCTCGAACTCCTGGGCTCAAGTGATCTTCCCCGCCTCGGCCTCCCAAAGTGCTGGGATTACAGGTTTGAGCCACCTATTTCTTAAAATATACATAATTTTCTGTTTCTTGATTTATCACATCTGGACATAATCTCTTAACTTTCTTTTTTAATTTTTTTTTTGAGACGGAGTCTTGCTCTGCCGCCCAGGCTAGAGTGCAGCGGCCGGATCTCAGCTCACTGCAAGCTCCGCCTTCCCAGTTCACGCCTTTCTCCTGCCTCAGCCTCCCGAGTAGCTGGGACTACAGGCGCCCGCCATGTCGCCCGGCTAGTTTTTTTTTTGTATTTTTTTAGTAGAGACGGGGTTTCACCGTGTTAGCAAGGATGGTTTTGATCTCCTGACCTCGTGATCCGCCCGTCTCGGCCTCCCAAAGTGCTGGGATTACAGGCTTGAGCCACCACGCCCGGCCTATCTCTTTAACTTCCCAAAAGTGATTTAGGCCGGGTGCGGTGGCTCATGCCTGTAATCTCAGCACTTTGGGAGGCTGAGGCAGGTGGATCACCTGAGGTCAGGAGTGCAAGACCAGCTTGGCCAACATGGTAACATGGTGAAACCCTTTCTCTACTAGAAATACAAAAATTAGCTGGGCGTGGTAGTGGGCACCTGTAATCCTAGCTACTCAGGAGGCTGAGGCAGGGAGAATTGCTTGAACCCAGGAGGCGGAGGCTTCAGTGAGCTGAGATCGGGCCACTGCACTGCATCCTGGGCCATAGAGCTAGACTCCGTCTCCGAAAAAATGGGCAGGGGGTGGATTTAGCCAACTCTTGTCCTGTCCTACTAACTCCCCTCCATGTAGTTATAAGACTATTTTTTATTATTCAGTATTAATATTGTGACTAGATGTTTATTTGTTGCTATAACAAAGTACCCGTGTTCTTTGCTTTATTCTACCATTTTTTTTTTGAGATGGAGTCTCACTCTGTCGCCCAGGCCGGAGTACAGTGGCCTGATCTTGACTCACTGCATCCTCCGCCTCCTGATTCAAGTGATTCTCCTGCCTCAGCCTCCTGAGTAGCTGGGATTACAGGCGTGTGCCACCACACACAGCTAATTTTTGTATTTTTAGTAGGGACGGGGTTTCACCACGTTCGTCAGGTTGGTTTTGAACTCCTGACCTCGTGATCTTCCTGCCTTGGCCTCCCAAAGTACTGGAATTCAGGTGTGAGCCACCGTGACCGACTATTTTTTTTTTTCTTGGAGTTAATAACTGCTCTGTTTGTTCTCTTACTTTGTCTTCTATATATACCTGTTTCTTCCCAAATAGGGAGCCCAGAATTTAAAAAACTTAATTATTTGCTGACCACGGCAAACTTGTTTCCCAGTGGTCTTCTAAGTTTTCTCTTTAGTTATCCATAGTATTATTTCTTCTGTACTTTTTTCACTGTTACACCAGAGTGGAGAAGTTGAATTATTCAGAATGCCAAAGATCTAGAGAGGTGAAATTTAACTGTACTGCATGTCCATCTTGACTCCAAACTAGAATAAGCTAACTATTGCCTTGTTAGCTAGCACAGGATCATTTCATTTTTAGCTAAAAGGAAATAAATAACTGGGTCAGGGCTATCAATAAGAAGACAGGCTCCATGTTGCAAAAGTCACCAAAGTTAAGGTAAAGAAGGTCAATCACATTGTTAGAGAATAATACTGATCTTCGGGTATTAACTGTTTCAGCCAGCTCTTGGTTTCACCATTGTTATGATATGGAAAACTGAAATATTTTTAATTGGCTTTTAAAGGCCATTAAGCCATATTATCAACACTAAAGATTATTTCTTTTTCAAAATAGACGTTATGATAGTGTTATAAATCGACTGTACACTGGTATTCAGTGTTACTCTTGTGGAATGAGGTTTACAACATCACAGACAGATGTTTATGCGGATCATTTGGACTGGCATTATCGGCAAAATAGAACTGAAAAGGATGTTAGCAGAAAAGTCACTCATAGACGTTGGTACTACAGTTTAACAGTAAGTAACCCATGTGCCTCCATAGTATCTTTTAGGCTTAAATTATATCATTCTAAAAGTATATTAATTTTAGTAATTTTAATAATTATTAAAATTTAATGATTTTAATAGATAATTTAATAATTCAATAATTAAAATTTAATAATTTTAATAATTGTTGGACTCTAACATGTAAATTTCTTGAATAAAATTTGACCTCTAGAATATAAATAGATTTTAAAAAAAATGAGTTTTGAAGATTTTTTTTATTTTTTAATTAAGATTAGAGTGTAGCATACAGGCTTGTTCTAGCTCTAAAATTCCAAGGCTCTGGCGCTGTTTTTTGTAAAAAACAATGTATTTGAAACTTACCTTTTTTGAATTAGTAGTTGTAACTATAGAGTTACTGGAAAAGATCTTAATTATTGGTTGTTTTATGTTGTCATTAGTTATATGTCTCAAAGTATAATTTTAAATAATATTAGAGCATAATGTAGAAAATAACGTACCCCTACTTTTAAATGGCATTATATTGAAGATACACAGTAAAAATTTAGAAATAAATGGAATAATCTTTTGAAAATCAACTCCTTTTAAGGACTGGATAGAATTTGAGGAGATAGCTGATCTGGAAGAACGGGCAAAGAGCCAGTTTTTTGAAAAGGTGCATGAAGAAGTTGTGCTCAAAACTCAAGAGGCTGCTAAAGAAAAAGAGTTCCAAAGTGTACCTGCTGGACCAGCTGGAGCAGTTGAGGTAAGAGAAGAACGTTTAAATTTTCTCCCAGTGGGAGTGTCCCTCACTTCCTTTAAGTAAATACTCATAAACATATCACTATATTTATATCCCTGTTTTAATGATTTTAAGACTTCTTGAAAGCTCTACTCTTCAATTTTATTTTTATAATCTAGCTTTGAGTTTCATAACTACAGTGACCACAAGAAGTGAAATGTTTACTCTTTTTGCTGGAAAGGTTGACAGAATCCTGTAAATGTATTTTGAATCATAGTATATATTGGACATTATTCAAACGTTTGGAACGCTCATAAATTGCTTACTCCACTTAACAAAATGTTTGTATATTTTTACTTAATGGGGTTAAATATGGCCTATTATGTAAATTTCATTTTATATGATTATATTTTAGAGTTGTGAAATCTGTCAAGAACAATTTGAACAATACTGGGATGAAGAGGAGGAGGAATGGCATTTGAAAAATGCTATTAGAGTAGATGGAAAGGTAATTTTCATTTCTTTATAAGGAAGTGTTAAGATTAGTATTTTTTTGTTGGGTTAACACATTACTTTGAAAGGAGGGGGTTTGTAATACTTTTTGTTTGATTTTTGGTCGTAATAAAAAAGGTATTGGACTTTAGTAATAGAATGCTTGAATTAGAAGGGATCTTAGCAGTTACCCGGTTCTGTACTCACTTTACATAGGAGGTTGCACTATTAGTCAGTGACAGACCCAGGACTAGGTCTTCTGAATCTAGTCGTTTTTCTCTCCACCCACACTATTTTGATTGTGGATTTATGTTTCATCATCAAACTGTACTGTGCTGAAAACAAAGCAAAGATACTTAAATACTAGGGCCAAGAGTTTTTCAGACTCTTTAAGCATAAGGATGAAAATTTGGTTTTATCCATTTTAGGACCAAATAATTTTTGTCTTCTTTCCAAAGACTATCTTCTGGTTTAAAGTTAAAAAGAAAAATCGTATCAGAATAGCCCACTAGAAATGAATATGCACATATTTACTTTTTTTCTTTTTGTTTCAGATTTATCATCCATCATGTTATGAAGATTATCAAAATGTAAGTTCTTTTTGGTTACTGTATTTGCTCTCATTTGCATTAATAAATTTTGCTTTTCGGTTTTTTTTTTTTTTTGCATCAGAGCAGTATTGTTACTTTAAACTTAATATATTGAACTGTTTTTGTTTTTTGATGTAGCACTTAGGTTGTTCAGTAAAAACTGGTGCCAGAGTGACAGAATTGACATATATGAGTATCATTTTCTGTGATACGCAAACAATTAAAATTTTGAAATTTATCATTCCTTGCATTTTATTCACTTGAATCATGGTATCTTTTACTAGTCCACTAGGCCCAAAGAAATGTGAGGAAAAGTGAAGATAAGGATCATGGTGGAGATAGGTTTCTAGAGCTATGGGTAGCATTTACTTTTTTTTTTCTTCCATCTCTATTCAGCCATCTAAATAGGTATATTCTTTTTGTTGTTTTGAGACATGAGTCGCTCTTATTGGGCAGGCTGGAGTGCAATGGAGCGATCTCAGCTCACTGCAACTTTCACCTCCTGGGTTCAAGCGATTCTCCTGCCCCTGCTTCCCAAGTAGCTGGGATTACAGGCGTGCACCACCATACCTGGCTAATTGTGTACTTTTAGTAGAGACAGGGTTTCACCACATTAGTCAGGCTGGTCTTGAACTCCTGACCTCAAGTGATCCACCCCCACTTGGCCTCCCAAAGTGCTGGGATTACAGGCATGAGCCATCGTGCCCGGCCAAAATAGGTATACTTTATTTAATGATCACATATGGAATCTAAAAACGATACATTTTTGGCCTTAAAAGTTCAAATGGTCGGCTGGGCGTGGTGGCTTACGCCTGTAATTCCAGCACTTTGGGAGACCGAGGCGAGTGGATCACCTGAGGTCAGGAGTTCGAGACCAGCCTGGCCAACATGGTGAAACCCTGTCTTTACTAAAAATACAAAAATTAGCCAGGCGTGATGGTGGGTGCCTATAGTCCCAGCTACTTGGGAGGCTGAGGCAGGAGAATTGTTTGAACCCAGGAGGTGGAGGTTGCAGTGAGCTGAGTTCATGCCACTGTACTGCAGCCTGCACGACAAGAGTGAGACTCTGTCTCAAAAAAAAAAAAAAAAAAGTTCAAATGGTCATATTTGTAGGCTGTTTTTAAAACCAAGTAATGGAACAAATAGGTTTTTAGAGATAATGGGTTGGAGGCATTTTGGAAGGTTTATTTAAGTTGTCAGAAGACTAGTGTTGAGGATCATGGTTTGTGGGGATTTAAAAAATCCTCAGACTATTTGAAATTAGGGTAGTAACAAGTCCCAGGATATATGTATGAGTTTAACATCTATGTAGAGATTAAAATGTAGAAGCATGTCTAATCAACTTTTTTTGGCTGTATAATGTCCTCCAACTTAGCTGCTGCTTAGCTCACTGCTGAGTACATATTGAATGTGCAATATATATTTTATTTTTGGTTGTCTTTATGGCACATTTTGTTGGGAGGCAGGTGTTTCATTTGCATTTGGTTGTGTGTTCTCTTGTCCATACAAGGGTCTTACAAAACTAAATGTCATTTAATGTGAGAATTTTTAACTTTCATCAGTACTCATAGGGCCTTTTATTTTGTAGACATCTTCATTTGATTGTACACCATCTCCCAGCAAGACACCAGCTGAAAACCCCTTGAATATTATGTTGAACATTGTCAAAAACGAATTGCAGGAACCCTGTGAAAGTCCCAAAGTTAAGGAAGAACGAATTGATACACCACCAGCTTGTACAGAGGAAAGCATAGCAACACCCTCTGAAATTAAAACAGAAAATGACACAGTTGAGTCAGTTTAAATAAAATGAGAAAGGTATGTTTTTCTTTTTTAAAAAAGCTGCTGTTGGATCTAGAAGGTGAAGAATTTTTTTATGTATATATAGACATATCTATATAAATTGTCTAGCTGAGGCAGGGCCTTCAGCTATCATTTGGTTAATAAATACATTTTAGTATTTGCATTTCCTACTGCCTGCAGAGTTTCAGGTGCTTGTTGTGTGAAAGTTCTGTAGATGTGTGCAAATTTAACAAAATGAAATTGTATGTGTAAAAATGTACGATTTTTCACTGTGCAACTGTAAATTATAAATAAAAAATATTTTTGCTATTCATGGAGTGTAATATTTATGCACACCATCAAATAGTTTCTGTACTTTTTATTGGGTAAAAATGGAATTGAACAGCAACCTCAACATAAGATTTTTTTTCTAGTAGCCTCCCACTGATTAAAGAAGCAAAGTTTGAAGTTTCATCCTTCAAAAGGGGGTTGTGAGAGAGCAGCATAGGGCTTTTCTCAAATAGAAAAGCCAGATTTTGAGAAAATTTTAAAGACAAAATAGGACATATTTGCAGATATATATATATATGAATATATATATACACACACACACACATCTCCAGCTATAGAGAACCATCCAGATGTTCACTTTTGAAAATATCTAATGAAGCAAGTTTTATTCTTGAACTTGGACACTGATGCCATCAAACAATTAACAAATATATTTAAGTACTAAAGGTGATTTTTTTTGGAAGACATTTTTCAAATTGTCAAATGATTTAATGCAGATGAACATATTTCTATTTTAAGTAACGGAAATCTGTAAGAATGTTCGCTTGAGATATGGTTAACTTTTTTCTTTTGTTGGTTTTGACTTAGATGGACACCATGAGATGTTAATATTCATACATGTAATAAATAGAATGATGAAGAAACTTTGTTTGTATTTCTTTATTGAAAAGCTTTAGAATGTGACTTTTTTGTTGTCTTTCATCTGTTTTTTAAAACATGAACATGGTACTTGCTATGAGCCAGGCACTCTGAGACAGGTTAGTCTTTTCTGCCATTTATTGGACATAAGCATATAAAACACTGAGTTTTATTGAGCACATACTATGTGGCAGGCACTAGCACTTTCTACATGTATTTTCTCTGGTATTCACATCCAATAACTATGTGGTAGATGGTGTCCCCAGTTTACAGATGAAATTAAGCCACTCACTTCAAAATTTTTATTAGAATTTGAACGTGGCTTTGTTTCATCTAATTCCATACAATTTCTGCAATTTCAAAAGATACCCCCAAATTGTTAGGATAGAAATAAGCACACCAAACTACTGGAAGATGGCTTAAGGAAGATACTACAAATGTGGTGATATTTGAGTCTTGGAGGATAACCAGGAGTAGAGTCCATACTGATAGGAAGGGTATCTTTGGAAAATGAACAGCAAATGTAAAGGCCTGAAATACTTTGTGCTTTCAAAAGTTGACTTCTTATGGTTAAAACTCAGTTTTGAATAGGATATTATGATGAACCATTATTTTTAATTTTTTTTTAGTAGAAATGGAGTCTCACTACGTAGTCCAGGCCGGTTTCGAATTGCTGGGCTCAAGTGATCCTACTGCCTTGGCCTCCCAGAGTGCTGGGATTACAGGCATGAGCCACGTGCCCGGCCTTTATTTGTAAGTAGTGAAGAGCCTTCCTGGTCATGTTAAGGAATTTTTATTAAACTGATGACCAGAGCAGCAACTAGAAATTTTAAACAGAGGTGACATCCTATCTGCATTTAAGTTTTTGTTTTTTAAGAATCAAGTGAATACAATTTTAGAGACTGCTAAATGCAGAGAGGTCCAGTGGGAAAACTGGTAGCCATTGGATTTGAGTTGTAAACACAGGTGACAGCTGAACTTAAGTATATGAACACTGCCATAGAACTGAGGTCTGTGAATCCAAAAATGCAGGCAAACCTTCCTGTTGTACATTTTTGTGGGGAAACCATCATAGCTTTTATCAACTGCTTACAGGTATGGAACATTCTAAAAGGAAGGTGACATGCAAACCTAAAAGTGTATCAATGGATGTATCCACATGGAGAAGAGGGTCAAGGATAGGGGAACAAAGACTGGTAGGTGAGAAGGTCAGAAAGCAAATGGGAAAACCAGCAATGGGAAATTTTTTTTTTCTTTTTTTGAGACAGTCTTGCTGTTGCTCAGGCTGATCAGTGCAGTGGCACAATCTCGGCTCACGGCAACCTCCCCCTCCCAGGTTCAAGTGATTCTCCTGTCTCAGCCTTCCAAGTAGCTGGGATCACAGGCGCCCACCACCTCGCCTGGCTGTTCTGCATTTTGAGTAGAGGCGGGGTTTCACCATGTTGGTCAGGCTGGTCTTGAACTCCTGACCTTAAGTGATCTGCCCGCCTTGGTCTCCCAGAGTGCTGGGATTACAGGTGTGAGCGGGAAGAAAATTTCAATGGACAAGGTAGTCAACAAAATAAAGTCAAGAAAATATGTAAGATTGAGAAATACTTTGTTGACCCAAGAACAGCTGAGTATGGGTGCCAACACCTGGTGCAATGGGTAGTGTGGATGAGAGGTAACAAAATATTAAAAGCTATTTTTTTAAATGAAGTTTAACTCCAGAGATTAAATTGTAGTTAGACAAATAGGAAAGGCATTAGCATGTTAAGAGGAGCTCAGTGGAGAAATGGGTTGAAGATGGAGATAACCAGTATACCAGTCTCAAGGTTGTAATGAGATAGCATCAACAATAGCACAGGAAGGGCTGGGCAGTGGCTCATGCCTGTAATTCTAGCACTTTGGGAGGATGAAGTGGGTAGATTGCTTGAGTATAGTTCAAGACCAGCCTGGGCAACATGGTGAAACTCCGTCTCTACCAAATATATGAAAAACCAGAGGAACGTTGCAAAAAAAATGAAATCACAGGAAGGATTAGCTTTGGAATGGAGGTGGGCCAGTGTTCTCCAAGATGGCCACTAGTATTTACAGTTGGGATTGAGTTCAATTCTTATTTTCTCTTTGAGGTAGAAGGCCAGAGGTAAGGCAGTGATCCAGTTCTGCCCCATATTTGGCTGTGCATTAGAATTACTTATAGTGAATTTAAAACGAATTTTAATACAAAATTTAGAGATGGGGCCTTACCATGTTGCCCAGGCTAGCCTCGAACTCCTGGGATCAAGCCAGTCTCCCACCTCAGCCTCCCAAGTAACTAGATTACACGTGCATACCACTACACCTGGCTTAGAATTAGTGAATATTAAGAGATTCCTAATCTTTGGAGAGTCTCATTGAGTTGATTCTCATCCAGGGCACTTCTAGTATTTAAGAAGCTCCATAGTTTTTTCTAACAAACAGCCAGATCTGGTAAATAATTCAGAAATCAGCATCAGATCAACAGCATCCCCAAAGATAAAATAGAGTCAATACATAACACTGTTAGCTAGAATTAGTAATCTCTCACCATAAAGTACAGTAAACTAAAGGAAGCCTCAGAAATGATGGAACATTTTCTCTTAAATTGAGTTGAAGTTTTAGAGAACAAATAAAAGGAATAGCATATGTTTCCTAAAATCTAAAGATTTCATTAAGTATATATACTCCTGGTTTTACTTAATTTTCCCACTGAAAATTTCCAACTTCGATGCTTTGGAAAATAGAAAGCAATCTCATTGCAATTCAGCTAAAAATAAGCTTTGAGAAGAAAAATAATTACATATAAAAAATTAAAACATTCTCATATAACAGCTTAGTATATACATATTTTTTATACGACTGACCTTACAATTCAGTACTAAGTACCCTAATGGAGGTTTATACAAAATATTCAGGAAACTCTAAGCATCTACCATGCTGCAGGTGGAAAAATGTAGCTGACTCTGGTAAACTGGAGGTAGAAATGGAAAATAAAGACTATTATCAAGAAAGATCTGAACTCTTTTAGAATTGGGAAGTTTTTTCCTTATCCTAAATGGGGTCAGCTCCCAGAGATAATGGGCATTATGTTGAGCAGGTGGGGAAGAGTAGCTAAGTAAGAGCCAAAAGGTACCCATGAAGTATCCCAGTGAAGATTTGGGAGTGAGCACCAAAGGGAGAACAAGAATGACTGGGAAACAAGAGAAAATGGCATATAGGCAGAAAGAAGTACAGACTGTCACCAATATCCACTTCATTTTTTTTTTTTGCCTGGGGTTGGCCCTGCTCCCTTCTCTGACACGAGATGTAAAAAGCTGATTTATGATCTGCTTTATCACCCCACTTTGGAAATACTGAGGTAGAAGTGGAGGACTAGTCATATTTACTAACTGGAATACCTTCCTACTCGCTAAAAGTTCCAATTCTTGAGAATACTGAGATGACAGGATGTATTCGGAACCCTGTTCCACATAAGAAACCTCTTCCATAGTCAGACACTTACCTTGAAATCCTGTGCAGTCTGGATATTGCATCTTAGCTTTTTAATTAAAATTACTTATTATCAATGACTTCTTGCTAAAACCAGTGTGCTTTTCTTAGCTTCTTAATCTCTTCTGGACTACACTCACTTTATTGTTTTTGAGACAGAGTCTCGCTGTGTTGCCCAGGCTGGAGTGCAGTGGCATGGTCTCAGCTCACTGCAACCTCTGACCCCTAAATTCAAGTGATTCTCGTGCCTCAGCCTCCTGAGTAGCTGGGATTACAGACACCCGCCACCAAACCCAGGTCATTTTTGTATTTTTAGGAGAGGCAGGGTTTCCCCATCAGCTAGGCTGGTCTCAAACTCCTGACCTCAAGTAATCCAGCCTCCCAAAGTGTTGGGATTACACGCGTGAGTCACTGTGCCCAGCCCACACTCACTTTAGAACTATCTTTTTTTGCTTCATGTGATGGCACATGTTTTTCTCTTCTTCTGTATTTTTACTTAGGATTAACATTTTAAAAATCAAATAATGCAAGTATAAAATATAGTCTTCTATACCCTCTTTCTTGGTCTATAAAGTGACTACTGGGTTAACAATTCAGTATAGACCCTCTCCAAATTAAAAAAAAATTAAAAATTTAATGAGATCACATATGTATTGTTTTGCACCATTTTTCATTGCCTATACCTTACAACTCTTTCCATGTAGATTAAGGTACACAGATCTGCATTTCTACCACTGTGTAGTATTTTGTATGATGACTGCAGCATAATTTAGCTATTCTTTTACTGATAGATATTAAAATTTCTAATTATTCACAATCACAAAGTTTTATGGTGACTATCATACTACATACATCTGAGCAAGTTATTTTGAAGATCTCACAACCAGTTGGTTCATGGGCAATGTGAATTTGAAATTTTACCATGGTTAGAGCTGTTAGGGTTATGCTAGCTTCAGAGTTGGGAAGTACTCCATCTTTCTCTATGCTTTGTTCCTGGCGACACTTATTGGGGACTGATTATGACATTAATAATTACCAATTTATTAAAGTTTTTTGACTCTTGAGCCAATATTTTGAAACTCGTCTTTTCCAAGAAAATTAGCCAAGTGAATTTTCTTTTTTTTGAGATGGAGCCTTGCTCTGTCACCCAGACTGGAGTGTGGTGGCATGATCTCTGCTCACTGCAACCTCTGTCTCCTGGGTTCAAGTGAGTCTCCTGCCTCAGCCTCCTGAGTAGCTGGGATTACAGGTGCCTGCCCCCATGCCCAGCTAATTTTTATATTATATATTTTATATTATTCAGTGGGTTTTAATATATTCAAGTTGTGCAAGAACGCCACAATCAGTTCCAAAATATTTCCATCACCCCAAAAGGAACCCTCTACCAGCCCTCTGCTGGGG